TATTATGACCTACTAATAGCTGTTCATATATCCAAACATTTATTCATCATTGCGCCATGTGCTTATGATAATACTGAATCTCCAATAATAAAAATATTAAGAGTAGTAAGTTATTGTTCACGTGGGATCGTGACTCCCCTTGTCAACTGTTAAATCCACATTATCGTGATCATTTTCTTAAGATAAATACCAGGAACGTCTCAGAGAGGAAGGAAAGCCTTGAACATAGGATGGCTATAGATTCCCTCTGAAGAGGTGTGACTACTAGTTTATTATTACAGTCTTTATCAAAGACAATAAAATACGTGTGTCATGGCGGTAATAATGATAATGAGTTTAAATAGAAATTATAGAGATTTATTTGATACTGAACTTCAAGATCCCAAGTTGAATTTCTGTAGTCAGTTCCATAGACATAAGCTTTACCAATAGCTAAATTAATTGAATATCATCATAATTGAAAATTAACTGTTAGCTCTAACTAGTTTATTAAATTTCAATTAACTTAATTATCACAAACTGTTTCAAACTATTTCTAATTTAATTGTATTAGTGTTTTTTCCTGGACGGTAGTAGATTTTGAATCAAAACTCGCGGAGACCCGCACAATAAATCGATAGCACTACTTTTGTATGTACCATTATAATCGAAACCATTTTAAATTCAAAATAATATTATTATTCTACTTTATATAAGAGGTTGGGACAAACGTCGAAGCAGATCTTTACTACTTGAGATCATCATTTGTAATAATTGCACAATAAAACCAACAGCAAATACGTTCTATATGCAGGTAGAGCACATAACGCATTGCGAAAATATTATTTCGTCACAGCACCACTTGAATTTGGTATCTCGAGATATCTTCCACAGGGTTATCGAGAAAATATTAAAGTATCTACATAATATTTTTAACTTCCCATAGGGTAAGTTATTGTAATGGGCCGAAAATCGGAATTGAAATTTTTACATTTCTCGACGTTTTGAAGGTTTCTGAACGTTTTGCATACCTCAGAAAAAATGGATGTGTGTGTGTGTGTGTTGTGTGTGTATGTGTGTGTGTGTGTATGTATGTATGGATACAATTTTCCAGTCCCGTTTTTAGGGCGCACGGATCAACCGATTTGAATGGTTCAAAAAACATTCGATTCCTATTGATAGGGAAAAGAGCTGATTAATTTTTGGCAAAGGCAGGTCCAGCCGCCGTTTGGAGATACGGAGCAAAGAGTGCAGAAAATAGAAATCGAATTTTTGAGAGAACGGAGTATCCGATTTGAATCATCTAAAAATCATTCAATTAGTAATGATTGGGAGAAGTGATGATTAGTTTTTAGCAAAGGCAGGTTGAGCCATTTCGAAGATACAGAGCTAAATGTGCAAAAAATTGCAGTTTGTGAGAGAAATAAGCATCCGAATTGAATGATTCAAAAAACTTTCTGCTTGTGTTGACAAAACAATTTTTTTTGGAAAGAATGTTTTTTTAAAAAAAAAATTTTGTATATCGAAAATAATTCAGATTTTAATTTTAGTTCTGGTTAAGTTTTAAAGCTCACTTATATAGTTTAAATAAATAATTTTGACTTTGTTATTCAGTTTATATAATTCTTATAAAGTTTAAACAATGGTACAGTATTTATAATAATCTATTTGAAAACATTTAATTTTCCTCGAACATTTCGTTACGGTACGGGAAGTTCCAGCAATTTGCCTAGAGACACGATGCAATACACCACTAGTTAAATATTTATATCAAAATACAAACACGTAATGTTATTAGTTAAACTAAACCACATATTGTGTTGTATTATAAGATCCCTGAAAGATAATCAAGATAATTAATAAATAATCAACAATACCTTCTACACATTGATGGTTTAGGTATGCAACTTTTATGAATAAAATTCCACAATTCTGAAATTTGCACGGTAAAAAATTCATCGATTTTTAGTTGAACTCGTTAAAAATTCCTTTATGATGTTGTAGACTTTACTCTACAAAATCTTTATCCATTTCATCTCTTGTGCATATTATATAAATCACTTTTAAAAAAGTCGATAAATTTCAAGTACATATAAATCTATAAAAATTTAAATATTGCTCATGAAATCTAGGCTTGGATGGAGATTGATTAGATTTTATAATGGAGAATTAATGACTAATATTATGTTTATTTTTTGTCTGTTTACCTGCAGCATTTTATAGTTATGAACCGAATTTTTAATCTACTACTAAATATTCTATAAATAAATTTATTTGGTCACCTTTTATGAATAAAATAGAAAAAAATCACTTATTATTATCAAGGTAAAAGGTGAATTCTTTCTTTTTAAAATACTCAAATAAGTCTTTAGTTGTATAAATAAAAATTATAGCTCTTTGCAAATATAGCCTATGTTTTTTCTCAAGAATCTTTCCAAAGAAACCAAAGCTCCGAAGTGAATTCTAATAGCTTTTTCTCCATATATTAAATATCAACTTACAAGAATACCATGTTTACTATTTTGAGAATTTCATGAATCTCCGCATGGTTATAGAGTTAATAAAAAACGCAATACCTTAAAATATTATAGGCTTTCATATATATAGGCGAAATTGTGTGTCAAAATTTTGTACAACTGTGCCCAACAGAACATTGTTTCTTTAATTTCATGTATATTTCTATTCTATAATAATTTATTTGTGTTGTTTTTATTTTAGGATTTCATCATCTTGACTGCGATATTACTAAATATTTCGTCTTGTGTTGCTCATTATCAATCGGGGCTTCTTCACACATCAGTCATAGCAAGTGGTCATTTCAACAATAGACCTCACAGGCTGGGTTCACCCGTACACCTTGGTTGAAAGAAGATTGGCTCACCAACGGCGATCAGTAAAAGCCAAATACAGCCAAGGATACATCATGTTAACCAGCTAAATCTTTGCAAGGTTATCCTAGATTGCATTCGCCAGATCTTTCGTTGGAAGATCGGGTTATAAGCAAATTGTTAGGTCAGTCATAAAATAATATTAAATATGATTTGAATTGAAAGTGTATGAATACTTGTTAATTATTCGTTGGTATAGGGACGCACGTAGCGATTCTTCGCCATAAGAACGTCTTTGGCCACACGGATATTTATACCACCCACAAATGCTAAGAGAATGGGATATGGGCCTAATGAAATAGAAAATACCGATTACGAAGTTTGGCGTAAGTACAAAAACAATTATGCAATAAAATGTAGAGACATGTTTATTTCGTGTATTATACAAGATTCCAATTTGATTACTACAGGAGAATACGATCCATTTCTCCTGACTGGTTTTGAAGCTTTGGCGCAGTACAAGATTAACAGCAAAAGGAGAACTATTTTTGGAGAAATTCCTCACGACCGACAATTGCGTTGGTTAAACTTTTTACGAAAATGTAACAGATTAGCAGGTCATATAAGAGCGAGTGAAAGACCTTGATCTGATTCCCTTACTACAGAATATAAAATTAAGGTATACCGTAAGTTCCTTTCCTTTTTAATATGAAATACTTACTTAAGATGTCTCGCGAAGCCTTTTAAATTGTCTACAAATAACTCTTAATATCTCGCTAAAAATTGGCTTTAAATTTGAAAAAGAGCTTCTTAAAAATTAAGCCTTTTCAAGTCTTTTGGCTTTGTTGCAACAAATAAATTACAATAAGCATTAATGATGTAACTAAGTACGTTTTCTATGCACACTTCTATCTAAATTACGTTTTAGTCTCCTGTGCCATCTTTAGAAATAAATCCTTTACATGTAACATAATTTACTTACAGGTATCTCTAAAGAGTTACAATTCATGTAGTTGAGATGCACCTGTGAGAAACTAATTATCATATCTCATCATATTTAAAGTTCAAAAAAAATCGGATAGATCCAAAACAGATGGCTAATTAACCTAATATTTTTTCACACGTGCCAAATACAGCTCGAAGTATGGAGACAAAAAAAAATTTTGGTACGCCCTATAATTTTTGATTATAGAAGTCCATATAAAGACAATCTTGCATATAAATCTGTTTTTGACCTTTATTTAATTTTACATTATGTAAATCGCTCAGATTAAAAAATCTCATGACACATGACTTGCAAGAACAAAATAATTGTAATTATATTTATATGAAGTATTAATGAGCCTGTTGAAATTCTGATGACACTGCAAAATGATATTAAAATGCATTTTAACCAGTATTTCTTTTTAGATTGAGTAAGATACTTCTATATAATTAGGATAAATGTAAAAAGTTACCATTAGGCAATTAAAAAATAAATTATTTTTAAGAATCTTTATTTTTTTAGATAAATTATTTAAATTTTTTTAACAAAGAAATGTTTATAAACTTTCATTTTATTAGAGAATTGATATATTTATAAAAATATAATTTCAGGCACGTCAATATGACAATTTTTAATTGATTTTCTACTATTTTAGAAATATCTTATATTAACAGTCTGAAAATATGTTTTCTGAACTTATATACTGGCATCACAGCTTATAAACTAATACGATATCAATTATGCCTAGAACTGATAAAATAATACATTTATTACAGTGCTGTGTTTTCAAAACATAATTTCGATACATGATTTAACAACACAAATACTACTCACACTTTTACAAATTTATATCATCAATTTTTTAATTAATGAAATTTTTTAGTTACTCTTTATTTACAGAGTATCATAATACTCCAATTAATGTATACTTTGAATCATTTTCATCATATAGACGTTTTATAAACATTAGAGTATTGATTTGGATATCTTAAAGTAAATATGATTGCGAGTGGTATTTTGGTCCCTTCAAAGATCTTAATGATAACTTAGCTTCAACAAGAGTATTATACTTTTGAGTAATATATATTTAATTGTATTAAATAAAATATCATCAGTAAAATATATGAAAACCATAAATATGATATTTTTAACAAAATAAATATACAATTTAAACACGTAACTTAATTATGATATGAGAAAAAAATTGGTCATTTTATATAAAGTGGTGCTTGCAATAAGAGCGTAGCTAGAGAAAGTCCATAAATAATATAATTATTCAACTGCACTTTTGAAGATGAATTACAAAGATCACCTTGACAAAAACACATATATACCTTTTTATAATTCCAAACCGTGTAAGCACACCTATCTTCTCCATCATCGGGTCCTCGTTGCAGACACATTCTTTGGGTTGCTTTGCCATATTCTGTAAAAAAAAGTAATGCAGATTATTTATACTTACAAAAGACTTCAAAATCTTGCAAGTTTAATAATCAATACAAATATTATATGAGCCAACCAAGTTTACATTATATGAGTAAATTGGTTTTAACCTGATAGAACTTTAAAAACACCTTGTTTTATTAATTACTTTACATTATTATTAAAAATACTCAAACTCGGGCATGATTGAGATAGTCATTTACCATCATCTTTGAAGCTGTTTCCACCTTCAAGAATTTTTCCACACCACCCGGAGGCACAAGGCACTGCTTCTACACCCTTTTCATCTTCGACTTGAGTGGCATTAAATGTAAAAGGATCTCTACAAGAGCCTAAATCTCCCCTGGATCGACATCGAAAGCAACGTTTAATAAGAGCTGAAAATAAATTATAAAATAATTCATATATGAAATCAAATACAAAGGATCAATTATTATAAAATATAAATCAACAAAGGAACAATAGAATTTTGGGGAAGTAAAAATTTGTTAGAAGATGTGCATTTGGTTTTGGACTTTTGAATATGTATAAAACAAATTATAAATGCTTGAGAAACAAAAATTTTAGCATTTATATTTAAGCATTATAAAACATAAATCAATAAAAAATAATAGAAGCTTGGGGAAATTGAAATGTGTTAGAAGAAGTGCATTTGGTTTTGTACTTCTAAATATGTATAAAACAAATTATAAATGCTTGAGAAACAAAATTTAAGCATTATAAAACATAAATAAATAAAAGAATAATAGAAGCTTGTGGAAATTGAAATGTGTTAGAAGAAGTGCATTTGGTTGTGGACTTTTATATATGTATAAAACAAGTTATGAATGCTTGAGAAAAAAAATTTAAACAATGAAATAGCTTTAAATATTTTTTTCTTTGCAATAATGCAAGTGAAAAAATGTCTGTAATAAATTAAAAAAATTGAATATTTAAGTAAATAAATGATTTATCAAAGAGTTTTATTTAAGAATAAATTATTATTGAATGAAACTCATATATATATATGAGTATGAGATCCTCAAATATTTGATTTAAAAAAAAGCTAAATTTAACAAAATTAGTAGCTTATTCATATTGTGATTGCTAGTGGGCATTTATAAATAATTAAATAAAGAAATAAATATATTAGTTCAAGAAACACACTTGAATTTGATGTTCTTAAAGCTGTAATGTTGTATTATTTTTTAAACTAAAGTTTTGACAGTTTTGTAAGTGTATGTAATAACTTTTTTATTCTGAAATATATAAGAATAAAGATAAATATGACGCTTTAAAGAATACTTTTACATAATAAAAAATCCTGGAATTTCGTATAATTTGTCATTCATTATTTTAACAAAGAACAAATGATTCATAACATCAAAATGTCACGGAGATTTCGTCTGGCATAAGCTACAAACCTGAACTTTCATAAACTTTTAAATTCCAATTCTAATTAAATAATAATTAATAAATTATACAACTGCACTTATTTTTATAATATTTATTGTTTAAACACCGAATACCCATTAAAAATTCTCTGAATGTAATTCATTTAACATCGTCTCTATCATAATTCTCTATAATGTATAAAAATATTTTAATTACCTTCCGAATATGCGAAAGCACAAATAAAAATTCCTATTGATATAAATATATTATTTATATGCATTTTATAATATAATTTGTGTATATTTTTTTATACCAGCTGTTAAGTCTTAAAGAAAGAAAGCACAGCACAACATATAAGAATGCGAAGCGCATGACATTTGACGTATGACGGAAAGGTGCGCTTCTTGAATTGTGCAAGTGTTTATGTTTATTTATTTTCATTTCTTTAATTTTTGTGTATATTTCGTTTAAATCAAAACGGGTGGATAGGTACATAAATTGAATCTGTAATTTTATATTGGCACAAAAATATATAAAAAAACAAATTATTAATTTTTTTCATTATTAAATCGTTCATGTGAAAGATAAATTCGAGGATTCATATAAAGATTCAATAATACAAAATTACAGAGTGCTTTTATATACACCACTGTTCAAAAACTATCCAAAAATTTATATTTAATAAAGTGTAAGATCCAACGAGACAATTAATTCAATATTTGAAATTATACATCTGAATATTCTTATTTGATTCTCATTTGATTCTTATTTGATGTAACAATCATTGTCATGTACAAAAGTGAAATGAATTTTATATATTTTAAACATAAGCAAAATTTTTAACAAAACCTAACAAATAATTATGAAGTAGTGTAAGCGCCACTTCTCATTTTCTACTCTTTTTTATCTATGAGTTTAATAAACATGGTTTTAAGATTCCGTATTCTAAATTCGCGCTTAATCTCAGTTGGTAGCACTTTATCCATTCGCTCCGAGCGTGACTGCAGCGCCGTAATAAATATAAACTGATTGGGGCTATCAGTGTGTGTTTTTCATGGGTTTTACATGTTTGTTAAAGAAAAAAGATATTAAATAATTGTTATAAATAATAATAAACAAGATACAGTAATAATGTGAACGCTGAATGTTTATTGAAATTATTAAATTTACTTCAACGTACTTAAAACATAGTTAAGTATAATCATTAATTAAATAAAGAAATGCAGTAAATAATTTTAAGGTTAAGTGCCTCAAAGCTTATGTCATAATCTCGGAATAGTTCTTAATAAAAATAATATAATAATGATAAATAATATTTTATCAATAGAATAAGTAAATAATAAATTAATTTACTCATTTTTTGGTCAAACTAAAGACTTAGACACTATTATAAAGACATAATTTAGACATTATTATAAAGACAATACCCATCAAATAAAATTGCAGGAAAAAAAAACTACATTAACTTTTCGAGACTTGTAAATTGAAGGAAATATTGTTGACAAGTAGGTAGGACTCAATACCTCGACCGATTCACTGCAAATGCGATCATAGGGCTTGGGAACCCACGGTGATCCATCAACACTACAAATATATATTTCGCATTATTTCAGCATTGTATTAATTAAACTGTTTGCAAAATAAACATTTTTTCGCTATGTGATAACTTTTATTTTTCTTTTAATCATAAAATTACAATTATTATATAATAAAATGTAATTAATATATAAATAATAGTTATACATAATCAATATACAATATATAAATATGTATTTTTCATTATTTCAGGCTTGTATTAATTACATTGTTTTACAAAACATTTTTTAGTAAGCATTAAATTTTGATAATACAACAATTTATTGACTTATAATTTTTCTTTTTGCTAAACATAACAATTTTACAACTATTCATAATACTCCAAATTGTATTTTTATAACAATAAGGTTATGATACTTACTTTATTCTTCTAACCGCTGCGATCCACTTTTCCCGTTGATTTTCTTTCACACTTAGCTGTACAAAAATGTTATAGAATTTGCAGTCACTTTTTCTGCTGGTATTTCTACAACCCACTACACAACAGATATGGTGGCTCATTTTAAATTATCTTATTAAATTTGAGTAAATAAATATTTTATGTGTTTTTGTTTAAAATTTGTTTATAATAGCCCTTCTAGTGCTTCAAGTTAGCCACTACGAACGCTTCGGTCGATTGACTTCTTCCATGCCTTCGCACATAGCCAATAGTTAAGACAAGATGTATGTATAGATATTATACTCTGTTTTCTATGGTTATTTTATCACAACTTGCTAACTTCAAATAACAATACCAATATCAGTTAAATTAATAATTTAAATTGCTTAAAAACTGATGACATAAAGAATTAAACAATATTTATATTTAGAATCAGGAATGCTGTGCTAGCTAACAGGTGTAAGCTCATAAGAAAGAAAAAAAAATGTAATCTTTCAATTCAATTCAATTTTAATAGTATATTTGATCAATTTTTTTACAACAATAAATATAAAAGCTGTTTGAACTAACAACACTTTCTTACTTCGCCAACTTCAATTTTGGAATAAAGTATCTTTACTTTTTTACCCGTATGAGAAGACATTATTTAGTATATATACAATGACAAATATTAAGATATTATATTTTTAACTTCTCGTAGGGAAAAAAATTGAAATCGAATATGAAAATTTTTATATATCTTTATCTTTACGTCTCATAGGTTTCTGAACCTTGTGGCATGTGTGTGTATATGTGTGTGTGCGGATACAAATTTTCGTCGACTACTTAAAGAACACGGTTTATCCGATTGGAATTATTCAAAAAAACAATCGATTCTATTAATAAGGAGACGTGCTGATTAGTTTTCTGCACAGGCAGGTCTAGCCGTTTCGATGATACGGGGCAAAAAGTGCCAAAAACGGTAACTCAGTTTTTAAGAAAACGGAGGGTCCGATTTTAATAATTCAGAAAATATTTTACTTGTAGATGAACGACTGAATAAATTTTTGAGGAGGCAGGTCTAGCCAGTCGGTGATCTAGTATTAAAAAAAGTAAAAATAAATGCCATTTTGAGGTCAAAAATGATCATTAGGCATGCGCACATGAAATTATCAAATATTTTATGGAGATTTTAATAATGCGCGTATCATTTTGTTTACATTCTATGGGTTTCGTAACATCGATATTGCGTCTCTATGCTGCAAAAGCAGTGCGATTGCTTTGAAGAAAAGTTCAAAATTTAAAAAATATTTCAAAGTAAAAAAAATTCTTTTTATTCCAAAAGTTTTTTTTCAAAGAAGTCATTTTTGTTAATTTAAAATTTCTCAAAAGTCTAATTTTTTCAAAGTCTAAAATAAATTTAATCCTTTTTAAAAATTTAATTTTTGGTACGGAAAGTTCCAACAATTGGCCTCAAGGCACGATGCCATACACCACTAGTTTTATTATTTTATAGTACAATATTATTGATTTCTTCAATTAAAGAAAAGCTATATATTCAAATTGAAATATTTGCAAAAAATACCGGTTGCGAATGATTCATTGTACTGCGCAACCAACCGACTAGATGGAGCACACATTATCGATCCAATAATTCCGTTTTTGCTTTTGACATTAACACAATGTCAGAAAGAAAATTGATAATATAAGGCGATAAGGAACAACAAATAATAAGATGAACTTTAAATTGTTAATGTGTTACAAGATTATAGAGATATAAACTAAACATGCCAAGAGACTTCGTAATGGTTCACTCAGATTTTACTGAGTGTAGTTACTCTATAAATATGTGTTTTTGTCAATTATAAACATTAACATATAATTTCAAAACTATATATTATAAAATCATATAGTTTAGTGATTCATGATTATTTACTGTACGTCTGATGTTGTGCAAATCAAGTGGTTTAATAAATATGTTCGGAATCTATTAAAAAAAGTACACCAATGTTATGATTAAAATTACTTAATCATTTTTATTTTATTTTGATTTGCGCAATACACTTATAAAATGGCACTTGGCCCTGGTTCTGCTTTAAAAACCACTTCTGTTTTGCAACAGCTTTTAGAGGAAATAAATTTTCAAAGAACTAAAGAAATGAGACAACTTCTAAAAGATGGTATTTAATTGTAAATAATCAATCTGAAAATCAATGTAAATGTGTAGCTAATTTATATATTTTCTTCTTTTATAGATTCTGGATTTGTAATTTTGCAAGGCACAACATATTGGACAGATTTATTTGTTCGTCATTTCTTATTCCAAACAGAGCAGCAAAATACCATGATTGTGATGATTTATTATTTTTGTTAGGAAAAAAACATGTTAAAGGCACATCTAGGTGTCATCCTAAATTTGAGGTACATATAGTATATAATATTATAAATTTTTAATAAATTTTTAAAGTTTACTTTTTTATGACTATTATTATAGACCGATGTAGATGTTTTTCGCAAAGATTCTCGAAAACTACCTATTGGTGATCCTGATATGATTTGGGAAGAAACTGTTTATTTAAACTTAGTCATTTCAGTTTGATTATACTTTGACGCTTGCAATTGTACTAGAACATCACCTAAGGAGTTACAAGTTCTGAAAAGACATTCTCAGAAGGTATACGGAACATCAATATTTGTATTTTTACACGAAGTCAGGAGCCATATAAATTTAATACATATTTTACATAGTAGATAAACTACAACTTATAAATTAATAAATATCTCATTACTCTTAGAATTTTTGTATTGTTTATATTATTGAATCTTGAATTTATAACACAATAGTAGAAAATTCCAAATATTGTTTCTTCAAATTTAGTTACTTATCTAACTTAACTTATGTAAGTTATTTATATATTATATGTTACTTTACTATCGCATGAATATGCAGTATGAAATTATATGCTCTATTTGAATGGCTCTACTTATTATAGTAAATAGATTGAAAACATTAAAAAACTGATAATATATAAATAACTCATTAATTTATTTTTGTTTGTAGGTTTATGCCTCACCAAGCAGACGTAAAATGGACACCAAAGGGAAGGTGAAGAAAAGACCTACTACCACACATTTGTTTTATGGTTGATAATTTTGATGAAGTTTTCTGTGATATTCTTGTTCGTGATGGTGAAATGGTCTGTGTAGAATTAGTTGCTAGAGATAGAGATGGTTCTGTACAAGGTGTCATATTTCTTGGTTCAATCAGATATGATGCACTGAAGAAAGTGTATGATGCCAGAGTGAGTCAGATTTTTGCATTATAATTATATCTTATTAGTGGCAGTAATATAATTTATTACATACTATAAAGTATGATTCTATATACTTATAAAGTGATTGTGCCCATGAAAATTTAGATAATTATATCTATGTATATACTTAGTTTTATATGCTATTTTATGAATAGCATTTATAAAATATAGTTTTATCTTTATGATTTCAGCAATCTAGTCTTAGTACCAAAGTAGCGCAGCGTATGACATTTGGGTCTATTTTCGAACTCGGCTACGCAACGTTGTGAATTTGTTCGAATGAAAGGTCCTCAGGGCAAAGGACATGCAGAGATGGCTGTCACAAAACCTCGGGGATCAGGAGTAGAAACACCCACTAGCGAACCCGGATTTTGTATAACTGATGGCTGGGATGAATGGGATGAGAATCCGGAAGAATTTTACAATTATAGACATCAGAGAAGGTGAACATACATTCATTACATCATGCTCAATCATACTTTTATCCCAGAATATGCTTGAATAAAAAACTTGTTAACTACCCGTAGGGCAAGTTATAGTAATCGCAAAAAAATCGAAAATGAAAATTTTTATATATCTTTACGTTTCAGAGGTTTCTGAACATTTTGACATACCTTAGAAAAAATGGATGTATGTGTGTGTGTGTGGTGTGTATGTGTGTGTATGTATGTACGTGTGTGTATGTATGTGCGGATACAAATTTTCGTCGACGATTTGGGAACACGGATCAACCGATTTGAATAATTCAAAAGCATTCGATTCGTATTGATAAGAAGACGTGCTGATTAGTTTTGGCGAAGGCAGGTCCAGCCGTTCCAAGATACGGGGATAAAAAGTGCCGAAAACGGTAACTCAGTTTTTAAGAGAACGAAGCGTCCGATCTTAATAATTCAAAAAACATTTGACTTGTATTGACAAGATGAAGAATTGATCAAATTTTCATGAGAGCTGGTCTAGCGGCTTCGGAGATCTAACGAAAAAAGTAAAAAAAAAAATGCCATTTGGCGGTCAAAAATGATCATTAGACATATGCACATCAAATTATCAGATATTTTATAGAGATTTTAACAATAAGTATAAAATT